CCCCCCCCCCCCCCCAAAGAAAAAAAAAACCACCAGTGAGCTCAGGCAGACTTCCACCCACCCGTCCAACCATTCAACCAAATATCCTTACTCGGTTAAGGTGCTGGGGATCAAGCCCATGGCCTTGACTTGCTAGGCAAGTTAGCACTCCACCCCCCCCCCCCCCCAAAAAAGGGAAAATTTGCCGCTAAATTTTTCTTTCCAGGAAACCAAGTGTGATTGATGTTTGAGTTCTCCTGCCAGCGTGACTAGCTGGATTAATGGTTTTCCATTGGACAGTAGAACTGGGCACGCGCTGGGCACAAGTGTGATCCAAAAGCAAGGAGAGGCTGTTCAAATTAGCAAAGATTTAGGAGGACAGTTATCTGGGCTCCTGTTTCATAGGTGAAAGAGACTTTCTATTTTAACAAGCTGAGATGAGAATTTGGGTCTTCTAATTTTAACATTAGTATTTTTTTTCTTTCCCGAAGCCGTCCAGGGCATATCAGATAAAGCACATTCCTTTGTTTTTTCTGGCAGTAGAACCTTCAAACGCGACTTTGTAAAAATTACACATTTCAGCTGGGTGTAGGTGGCACAGGCCTGTAAGCCCAACTACTGGGGAGGCTGAGGCAGGAGGATTGCAAGTTCCAGACCACCCTGGCAACCCAGAAAGACCTTGAATGAAAATAAAAAGCTCTGGAGAGGTCGCTCATTGTTAAAAGTGTTTACCTGTCACATATGTTGTTCTGAGTTCAGTCCGTAGTACTTCAAAGAAAATAATTCTAGAGAGATTTTTTTTTCTCTTGGATTTCAACATCAGCCATACAAGTGACATATTATTGATGGCATTAGGCCAGTTTGAGATCATGGGTGAGGTGTGGTTTCTGTTTCTGATAGTTGCAAGTTTTAGTTGGACAAATAAGACACAAATGTGGTAGGAGCTAAAAGGTGCTTTAGAGTGCAGTCTAGTTCACCATTGTCTCATTAAGTGGGAGAATTGGAATTGAGTGGTTACTGTAATTTGAGTTAAGTGAAAGTTACATATTAGTAAATTTCCTACTACTGATAGATCCTTCTTACAAAGTTTGATTTTTGAGATCTTTTGTGACATTTTATGTATTTCTCTCCTGCCTCCAGATTACAGGACCTGACAATAAAGGAATTTATAAAGGAGACCGAGAGTCCAGTGGGAAGTACACATTTGCTGCTCACATGGATGGAACATACAAGTTTTGTTTTAGTAATAGGATGTCTACCATGACTCCCAAGATAGTGATGTTCACCATTGACATTGGGGAGGCTCCAAAAGGACAAGACATGGAAACAGAAGGTGAGATGAATAGTTGAAAGATGGTGTTACATTCTAATTTTAATTCTATACACTTTTATCCATCTGAATGGAGTACTTATTTTTTTCTTATTCCAGGTTCATTAACTGTTAAACCAAAAACCTTATGTGAAATGTCTTTACCTGTGCACGTCCCCTAATTAACATAATTTTTCAAAGTTAATATTTAGTTTTTCATTCTTTATGGTTGCCCCTCTGGCAGCTTTTCTGTCTCTGTGTTCTTGTGATTACTTAGTTTGTATATGTCTTATGTTGTTCTGTTAATTTGTTAATACTGGCATATATATTTATATATCTTCAATTGCACAATTGTGGACATGACTAGATTAGCTAAACTTTCTGTTGCCTTTTCTGTTCATATTTTACATTTTTCTTTAGGTGGTGGAGATACCTGGGATGGTATGTGGATTGTTTTTTGATAGCATCCTGTCTTTTTGCATCTTTTTGTTTGCTAATGTCTAATTTATGATTTCTTTTTCTCTAACCTCAGTTTGTGGCATGAGAGTGTTTTTTCTCTTAAAAAAAAAAGTACAACTAATTAGGTTGTTTTTTATTTCATTGACAGGAGATATAGGCTAGGTTATTTTAAACTAATGACACTAAGTCCTTAGCAGCTGATGATTGACATTTTGGTAGGAACATCTTTGTTTCTTTAAATGAATATTCAAAGATGGAAAGATTCAATTGTAACTAGATAAGAAAAAGTCTTGATTAAATATAGCTTATTGCAAGAGGTGCTTTTGACATCATAGAAGATGTTTTATATGCTTGTTTACTATTGAAGTTTCTAACTTGAAGGTTGGTTGGATATAAAATGCAGTTGGGTGCTGGGGTTGTGGCTTAGTGGCAGAGCGCTTGCCTCAAGCATGTGAGGCAGTGGGTTTGTACCACATAAAAATAAACAAAGATATCATGTCCATGTATAACTAAAAAAAAAAAAATTATAAAATTCATTTGGAAGCATTTGTAGTTAAGATGAGAAATTCTTTGGTCATATGTTCAGTTAGGTTGTTCATTGCTCAACTGACCAGCAGTGAACCCTGATTAGGATAAATTGCTTGCACATTTAAAAAATTTTTGTTGCCACAGTACATGCTAGATTTTTGGAAACCAGCAGTTTAACATGGATTATAGTATTAGCATGATAACTTATATCCCAGATATTGAACAGTTAGTAGAGTACTAGCATCATAAAGAAGGTAAAGAGTTTTGTTAGAATTTGAAATCTTCAGAATCTAGAGAATCGTACCACGTAGTTCTTTTGTTCATTCTTTTGTTCATTTTTCAGGACTATTTACAAAGTTAGGTTGGTTAATTCTTTTTTTTTCCCCGTGTTTTATTTTGGTACTAAGGATTGAACCCAGAGGTGCTTAATCACTGTGCCATGTTTCCAGCCCTTTTCATTTTTTATTTTGAGGTAGTGTCTTGCTAAGTTGCTTAGGGTCTTGCTAAATTGCTGAGGCTGACCTGGAATTTGCAATCCTGCCTCAGCTCCCCTAGTTGCTGGAATTATGAGTATGTGCACTGTGCCTGGCAGGCTCAGCCAATTTTTAAAAATTATTTATTTTTTAGTTGTAGTTGGATACAATACCTTTATTTTTATTTTATTTATTTTTTATATGTTGCTGAGGATCGAACCCAGGGCTTTGCCCATGCTAGGCGAGAGCGCTCTACTGCTGAGCCACAACCCCAGCCTAGGCTTAGCCAATTTTTGAAGAGAGAAGTTTTAAAAGGCTTTGAGTTTGTTTTCTGAAAATTCGTCCTATTTAAATGGTTAAAAAATATTGGCTGATGAATATATAATAAGTAATCCTTTAACACAATGTATAAAATTTTGCTTTTGCTTGTCAATGAATGGCAGCTGTCAAATTGAGCTTTCCTCTAAAGCAGTGGTTCTTGAGTAGAGATGATCTCTGCTGCATAAGGATCTTTGGCAATATCTGAAGATGTTTTTGGTTCTCGAGACAAGATGGAGGTGGTTGGATGTTACTGGCATCTAAGGGCTAGAGACTATGGATGCTGCTAAATATCCTCCAGTGCATCTGCTGGCTCTTATAGTAAACATGGGACACTTGGTCCAAAATGTCATCAGTGCTACTCTGAGAAACCCTGCTCTAGAGGTTCCACAGAGTGCATGGGGGCTTCCATAGTGAAGCTGGTAAGGGGTGACTTAAGATTCCAGTTGAACTGCCTCAAATGGTGGGGGTCTGTGATTTTTCTTAAACCTAGGATGATCCATTGTAAACTGGAATCCCAGATTTGGGCAAGAGTGAAGAGATTCTCCCCTTCCCCTTGGAGTTTTTCCTTGTGCTATTTCTTTCCTGCCTGTTTTTTCCTTGTTCTAATATAGCACTACCCAGAAGCATATTTTTAAGGAACAGTATCTTGTTTTCATTTTTGATAAAAGAGGGTACTTTGTTGCAGACTTGTGCAGCTGAGAGACTTGCTTTACTTACAGTGCTTGCTGTTCTTCACTATAGTGACATAATTACTTTGTCACAGATGAATGTTAGAGTTGGTTCCGAGTTTCCTAAGTGTGTCTTCCTGTTTTTCCCTGTCCAGTTACATAGAGTTTAAAAGTCTTGTTTGGGTACTGCTCCTAAGTTAACATTAGAGTTATGTTATTCTTTTTTTTGTACTGGGGATTGAACCCAGGAACACTTAACCACTGAGCCACATCCCCAGCCCTTTTTATTTTTGAGCTAGGGTCTGGCTAAGTTGCTTAGGACCTTGCTAAATTTCTAAGGCTGGCCTGGACCTTGTTAATCCGCCAGACTCCCAAGTCTCTGGGATTTACAGGAATGTGCCACCATGCCCATCAAGTTAAGTGATGGCACTGGGTTTGAGTCTCAGTACTGCACATAAGTAAATAAAGATCCATCAACAAATTAAAAAAAAAAAATTTAAGTAGATTTCAGTTATATTTTATTGTTTCTTTTTAAAGTACCTTGTACTTTTTCTTATTGTCTTTTTTTTTTTTTTAAAGAGTGAGAGAGGAGAGAGAGAGAGAGAAAGAGAATTTTTAATGTTTTATTGTTTAGTTCTTGGCGGACACAACATCTTTGTTGGTATGTGGTGCTGAGGATCGAACCCGGGCCGCACGCATGTCAGGCGAGCGCGCTACCGCTTGAGCCACATACCCAGCCCTTATTGTCTTTTTTTAAGTGTTTTTGTAGTTGTACACAATAACTTAATTTTAGTTATTTATTTTTATGAGGTGCTAAGGATCGAACCCAGGGCCTCGAATGTTCGAGGTGAGTGCTCTACCACTGAGCCATAACCTCAGCCCATTCTTGTTTTTTTAAAAATATTTTCAGTTGCAGATGGACACAATATTTTATCTTTTTATTTTTATGTGGTCCTGAAGAGCGAACCCGGTGTCTCACATATGCTAGGCAAGCGCTCTACCACTGAGCTACAACCCCAGCCCCATATTTTATTGTTACTTATAGGACTTACTTTTTTTGTGGCACTGGGTTTGGTTTGAACCTAGGGCTTCCCACACTAGGCAAGTAAGTGCTCTACCACTGAGCTACATCTTCAGCATGTCAATAATTTGCTCATGTTGGCCTTGAACTTATCATCTTCCTGTAACAACAGCAGCATTTGACTAGAAGAAATTTCTTAGGGAAATTTTTACTTAGGAAGCATTATATGGTATGTTTCTTACTCTGAAAGAGGTTTTTCTACTGGGAATGGGCCTTGGAAATGCTCAGATAATTAATTGTCATCAGTGGTTTAATTGATGTTTGAACCACATTTCTGAAAGTTGCTTCCTTTCTATACCTTCTCTGAAGAATATTTTATTATGTAAAAAGTAGTTATCAAAAGAGATTGACAGATGTATGCTAATCTGTTTTCAAATCCTTCTGTAGCTCACCAGAACAAGCTAGAAGAAATGATTAATGAACTGGCAGTGGCAATGACAGCTGTAAAGCACGAACAGGAGTACATGGAAGTCCGGGAGAGGATACACAGAGCCAGTGAGTACTGGTTTATCTTTGTGGCAGTATCCCATGTTGAAGGGCTGCATCCAGCAGCCAGCAGACATAATGTGCTAAAACTTTGACTTTAAAAAAAATCACCTACATAAAGATGTTTTTTGAATATACACATTTGTAGAACTTTATTCTAAACTAGTTTATTATTATCAGGACATTTGTTCTATATCACAAAATGCTATAAAGATTGAGTAAGGGGTTGGGGTTGTGGCTCAGCAGGAGAATGCTTGCCTAGCATGTGTGAGGCACTGGGTTTGATCTTGAGCACCACATAAAAATAAAAGTTTTTTTTTTTTTTTTTTTTTTTTAAAAGATTGAGAATAAGGGCTGGGGCTCAGTAGCATAGTGCTTGCCACTGGATTTGATCCTTAAACAAGTTGTCCATCTACAACTACAAAAAAAAATTACAAAAAGATTGAGCATAAGCTTTAAAGAGCTTTTAAATTTTAAGAAAATTTAAAATCTTCTGATTAGCTAAGGAATAAGCAGAGCAGCAGGGAAAACCACTGTAAATTGATATTTTATTACTTTTTAGTCATGTACCTGAAACCTATACCAGACACTAAAATTTAACATATTTTATTCCCTAAAATTGAAGAAGATTAACTCTAGTTAGAATAGGAAAAAACATGGGCTGCAGCTGTGGCTTAGTGGTCGAGCACTTGCCTAGCATGTGTGAGGCACTGGGTTCAGTCCTCAGCACCACATAAAAATAAAGGTATTGTGTTCATCTACAACTAAAAATTAAAAAAAAAAAAAAAAGAATAGAAAACACCAAACATAATGTAAGCAAGTACCCAGAAAATCACCAGAAGATCAGTTTGGGATCACCATTTTGTAAATTAGAAATTTGGAATACATTTTTCTGTGGAAAAAGTGGAGTTTGTGGTAGGTTGCAAAAGTTTGATTGATACAAGATAGAGCATTAAATATTATGTTTTTGCATTTAAAATTAACAGGTGCCCTGTTGACACACTGACCAGATACCATATTTTATACCAGGTCCACACCTGTTCTTGTGTCTTTCATTGTCCAAGTAGCTCCTGGGGATAGATTTCAATGGGAGCAAGGTCTTATCTGTATGTGCACAGCAATTTAAATTGGGATTCTTTTTTCTGAGTTTGGGATAGGGAGTGGAAGGAGGAGGAACTCAAAAAGGAGCAGTTTGTCTACATCCTCCCCTACCACTCTCCATCTCCTCACCCTCAGGGATGGCTAGGGACCTATTTGTTGGTTGATTTGCTCCCAGGTTGGAGCTAGCCCATTCTTGGGTGGGAAGGGCCCTGAAGAAAATCAAAGCGCTAAGGTCATTCACTGCTTTGCAGGTTTTTTTTTTTTTTTAAATTATATATATAATTTTAGTTGTCAGTAGACCTTTATTTTACTTATCTATGTACAGTGTTGAGAATCAAACCCAGTGCCTCACACATGCTAGGCAAGTGCTCTACCACTGAGCTACAACCCTATCACTTATTTTTTATTTTTAAGACAGGGTCTCACTAAGTTGCTTAGGCCCTCACTGAGTTCCTGAGACTGACCTTGAACTTCGAGTGCTCTTTCCTTGGCCTCCTGAGCCACTACAGGCATGTGCCACTGCGTCTGGCTGGGACTGTGAAACTTTTTAAGCCTTGCATTAGAGCACAAATAATTTGGGGTTTGGAGCATTTCAGATTTTGGGATTAGGAATGCTCAACCTGTAGTAATTTATAGAATTGAACTTTCAGATATACATTTTAATTCCAACAGTATTGTTTTTCTTATATTTTTTCAACAGCATTGATTCCTCAGAGATGAACACAGTGAGATCTTTTGTTTACTTCAGTGTTGTAATACCTTTTTTTAAAAAATATTTTTAGTTGTAGATGGACAATAATATCTTTATTTCAGTGGTAAAACACCACTGGGTTCATTCCCCACTCACACAAAACAAAATGAATCACATTTTTCTGTCTCTAAAACATACTAATAGTTGCTTAATATTTTAAAGAATTTATTCAACCATTCCTCTTTCAGACACAATACTAAAATAGCATTCATTCACAATTATGATAAAAATTGTTTACTAGATTTTCAGCAAAAGTAAATTTCATGTCATGGAATTAATTCTAAAATTTTAGTGATTTTGATAGCTTTTGGAGTTCTAGTTTATATTTTTAATTTTGTATCTGTTCTTACTCTTATAAATGCACAACTTTTGAGGGAACCATAAGGTTTTCCTTTTGGAAAAATGTTAATTGCTTTTCACTTCTTTTTGAATGATGGTCCAATAACTGTTACAATCTAGTTGATCTTTTAATAAACAGTGTATATCTAAGAGTATGTCAGTTAGCTGATTAACATAATGTTGCTAATTGTGATTGTTTTCAATATTTGGCTATTTGCAGAAAAGTGGAAATACTGACTAGCTTAGTAACAAGTCACTCTGACTTCAAAGATTGTGAGAGAGTGAGTAGAGTAAATGAATAGTGTAGTCATGGCTTTTACTTTAAGGGTCAGATTTTTAGCTTTAGAATGGGATAAATGGTGAGAAGTTTGTCTTGTATTGACAGTCTGATAGTAACTGCTCCATGAAACTCATGCCTCTAGGTACATGGTAGGTGCTTAGTAAGTATTTGTTGAATAAATATTTAAGGAAAAAGACACTTAGGTTCACATATTTCGGCTTAGTGTAAATAGTGCATTTTATAGAAATCTATGTTCTTGATATAAATCCTTAAATTTTTAAAACAATTTTCTGATTCACCAAAAAAAGTTTATAATGCAGGAGAACATTTTCTATCTATAGATAGAAAAGAGGTTGGGTTGGGTATAAACCCTAGAAGCATGACCTGGGCAAGTCTCTTTTCTTTCCGGTTTGCTATACATAGTGCAGTTGGCTTGCCCTCAGTGAATGTTTAAGGTCCTTTGTAAAGCTAACAATCTCTGCCTCTGAGAGTGTTTAGTTGGTTGGGACAGAAGTGTTTAGAGTACTGTGAATGGTGTGCACCTGTTACATTCACTCACAACTAGGAGCTAGTTGATGATGCCTGTGCCTTTCTACAGAGTTATTAAATTTTGTTTGTTTGTTTGTTTGTCCTCAACAGTCAATGACAACACAAACAGCAGAGTGGTCCTTTGGTCCTTCTTTGAAGCTCTTGTTCTAGTTGCCATGACATTGGGACAGATCTACTACCTGAAGAGATTTTTTGAAGTCCGGAGGGTTGTTTCAAAGGCCTTTTCCTGATGATCCCAAACTCACAATTCACTTGTTTACCAAACATCTTGGTCATAATAATGTCATTAGTTTTTACATTTTTATTTTCTGAACTGTACATTCACAGCTTATGTTTCTTTGTGATTAATAGATTTTTGGGGAAAAACCTTCTTAGGAAAGTTGTAGTGAAAATTTGATATTTGATTGGCATAAAATTTCTTATTTGAATGTTGCCTCTATCATACAGGTCCTTCCAGAACTCAACCACTGTAAATGAAATATAGGAGTATAGTCTTTATTATGTCTTATTTCCCTTTTGTAGTAAATGCAGGAAAGCAACACAAAGCCTGATGGTACTTTACTAAAATGGCTGCATTCTTTGGACTCCCTCATCCTGTGGTTCAAGTCGTTAAAGTTTCATTTTGTTGACTCATGGAGTGAAGCAACAGTCTGAATCTTGACATTTTCTGCCCAGCCTAATGGCAGTGCTATCTGACTGAGGAGTGTACTATCAGGCTGGGTGTGTTTATATTTGGTCTTTTTGTTTTGTTTTACACATAAGACTTACCCCAAATTTTTACATATGACCTTAGGACTCAATCACCTCCACAAATATTGATGACACAAGCAGCTAATAATCTTTTCTTTTTTTGTTTGTTTCCGCCTAACCTCATAAGAAGTCTTGATTCTCTGGGTATTTGAGCAAATGCTAGCTTTTCTTTTCTGCACTGGCACAGCCCCTTTTTCAAGCTTGGCACATGGGAAGTGTTCATTCACGTAATTGGAAAAAATCTGGGTTTCTGATGCCAAAGGGTTAAAGCCTCTTGGGTTTCATTGCAGTGATATATAGCCACTATTTTATTTTTGAGAGTGGCCTTTGGGCCACTTTAAGACACTGAGTATCAGTGTCAGCACTAGGGTTTTTGTTTTTGTTTCTCCTGGGTCTTTCTTTTTTGGTACATGTGAATTTC